AGTTCCTTCCATCTGCCCATCCCTAAAAACTTTTGTTAAAAGGGCATGGTCAAAATTTATGCACAATGAAAGCAGAAACCATATTCGAGGAAATTAGCAACTTGAACAATTTGCTCATAATCCCAACTTATGCATTATATTAAATACAAGGATGAGGAAAACCAAACTTACCTTCATTAAACAAAAGCTATACAGTCTACAGAAGATTACTTCTGACTAAGCATAGGAGCTAAGAAAACTAAATTTCAACAACTGCAGATGTTGCACTACCCAATGGAATTATCCATGATACTATAATTTAAAAAGAAAAAACCAAACAAGCCAAACCATATATGACAGAGACATACAGAAAAGTTCAGCAATGTCAACATATGGCATGATTTTCAAAACCAAAAATCACGCATACTAATCTGGTTTAGCTATCAATGGGGTCCATATAGGTCACTTCTTTTCACTTCAAGCCAGCCTTCAAATTTCTTCTCAACGATCGTCCCCACATACATCCTTCACCGTCAAATCCCCCTCACCACCTTCCAAAATCAGCTCTGGCAGTTGCTAAGTTGATTTTAGTCCTCATAAAAGCTAAGTAAATTAGCAGAGATATTATCTTTTCTTTCTAGGTATCAAAACAGGAGCTGTAGGACCTTTGTTGTTACCCAAAGGTGTTCATTGACTATCTCAAGAATAAACTAATATTGAAATACTAAGTAAATCATACATAAACAATGGTTCAATCACGCTCCTCTAGCAAAAAAACATTTGAGAAGATGAAAGGGTGTTATAGATGCAAGAAATCTAACTAGCAAGGACTGCATTTAATTTACTTTGCCAGGACTGGCAATCCTCCAAAACTAGTAATTATTTACCCACTGCCATGACAGCTATCTTTTGTTTGCACTTGAGACACTGGCATGGGCCAAAGTCCAATGCAGATCTAGGTTTGTCAGACTTGATGAAAGAATTGGACCTTAAAAGAAACTCCTAACCAAGAAACATCAATGGGAAAATTGGTCATAAGGTACAAAGATATGTGACTTAACATTGAAGGAAAGCTGGTGTAATTCAATTGATACCAAAAAATTTATGTTTAGAATTGCTGGCTAAAAGCTCTGATCATTGCCCAATCAATAAGTGTTCTTTTTGGGAGGGAGGGGGGGAAGTGTTTTCATGGTGAACAACAGTTTATTAGATTCGAAAAATTTTTATCTGGAACATACAAGTTATCACAACAGATCCAATGAAAATGTAGGAGAAGTAAGAAGCTCAAAATTCAAACTTCAGAGTATATCATATGATGAAGAAAAAGTCAAGTAGTGCATAATTATCTCATCACTCAATATCGGGGGGTTTTCACTTTCAACCGAATCAGAGTTAAGAGTTAACTCTGGACTTCAAAAAAGAACAGGAAGAAAAAAAAAACAAAGAGAGTTCATTAAATGCCATCATTGTTGTGAAGAATTCAATGGCAAAAGACAAAAAACATATAAACAAATAATGGTTCAAATATCTACAACCTAAGGGGATAAATGTGCATGTGGCAGATTCATGATATCCATAACCCATGAAATCTTAAAGTGGAGGATGACGGTTATAGATACTTACATGAATGATAAGAACAGGACAATTGACAAGTGGAATTTTATCGATATTCTGCACACAAACAACCCACCAAAAAATAAAAATCACATTATATTTCAAACATTAATATAAATAAATCCTAGTAGCAGATAAAATTGGACAAGCAAACTGATAAATATTATGTTACCTTATAAATGTCAAACCAATATGTACGCTTTACAGGATACATGACTCTTAAGCCAGAAAGTATGGGACTGTGCAGAACAACAGCCCTTAACTGAGGCAGCCGAGCTGCTAGATCCAGAGTGGGGCCACTACCAACAGATTGGCCATAGAGGATGATATCTTCCTGTTTTGTACCATAGCTTTCTTCAAGACATTTATATGCAGCTTCAATATCTGCATATGTATTCTGTTCACTTGGCTGTAATACAAGAAAGATATGGGCTTTAGATGATCATATCAGCTCCACAATTATAATCACGTCTTTTACAGAAAGATAACTTTTTTCCCCTCCTTTTAAAACAATTTGAGTTTGTTTTATACCTTTCCAGATGATTGCCCATACCCAGAATAGTCATAGCTGCACAAAATCACAGAAAATCTATAAGAAAACAGTAAACTTCAATTTTTCCCTAATAAGTTGCTAAACTAAATTTTCTTTAATGGAAAAAAAGAAGACTTTCCAAGATGGCAATCATAATTCCAAGAGAAATGAACAAACAACTCCATCATTTTGTCTTTGGCATGGTGATAACTACTTGTACTAGACAATAGAATATGCTACTGCTAAATAAAAACATGAAAATGTTAATAGCTAGCGGGTGCTTCAGTCACAAAACAGTTTATCAGGTTAAACCAACAATGTAATGGTAGCAACTATCAGGTATCAACATGATGAGACTCACTGCTAAATAAGCCAATTATTAGTACAACTCTCACCTAAACTAGCTAAAGGAAAAATCAATGTGCCCACGCTCAACACCATAAATTGATTTCCATGATCACCATCTAGCAACATCTTCCAGGAAACACATCTTTTAATTCCTTTCCAATTAAATCACACTGCTAAAAGGCGCCAATAAAACTTGCATAACACCAGCCAATATATCTATTTCCAGTAATTTCAACCACTTAAGAGGTTCACATAGAAAACTCCAATTCTTGTAAATGCAATTAACTAAAAAACTAAATATAGCTAAACAAACACAAAATCCAAAAACCCAGATGCCAAGAACCAACAAAATCATCGAGAGAACAACAAAAAGTCACAGAATTCTGAAAACCCAGATGCCAAAATCACCAAACACCCACCAAATAATAAAGAAAAGTTCCAAACTTTTTTACACAAAAAGAGTATGAAAAAAGAAGAAGCAGCTGAAAACAGAGTGTACCCCATAAGATTGACCCTCAAGTGGATGCTCAATTCAATGAAAAGCTCATACATCTGACCCAGATCGGCAGCGTTTCCATGAGAGTAAAGCAAAGTGGAAGTAGCCATAGGATGCCTGATGTAAATAGCAACAATCTCCGTGCCACGCCGAGTTGGAAGCTTAAGAACCTCAACGTTTTCTCTATGAGGAAAAGGACTTAGAAGCAAAAGGCCAGTTAATTCATCAGTTACAAGCTTGTATGAAGGTGGGTTAGGTGGGAAAAAAGCAAACTTTGCCGCCATTGAAGACGTCACTCCTCCCATCTCCGCCTTTTCTTTTCTCTCTGTTGTTCCCTCTGCTTTGCTCTGCTTTTGCTCTGCTTTCAGTTTTTTATCTTTTTGTTGGTTTTGGTCAGGAGGAGTTGGAATTGATGCATATAGACATTCCCTTTGTTTTTTGTTTTTTGCTCTCAGTTATTCTTTTCTCCAGAAGATAGAACTTTTTCAGAGAGAAAGAAAAAGAGAGGATTTTGTTCTTCGTAGTGGCTATTAAGCACTTAAGAGAGAGAAGCAGAATAGAGGGATGCTTTTCCTCTGTTGGGTCCTTAAAATTGAAACTTTTTTCTTTTTTTGGTATAATTTGTTTGTAGGGTCAAGGGCTCAAGGGAAATGGACAGGAAAATTTGATGGCAAAATGGCAAAGGGAAAGGGTACTACTAATACCTAACAACCCCATGAACTCCCATGTGGATAAAGTTGATTCATTGAACCATTAGAACTTTGATTATAGCACAACCTTGTGCTACTACTAGTTAAAATGGTTATAAAGATTTACGCCTTACTATTAATCATACTTATTAGTTAAACTTATAGTTGAATTTGCCCAAAGTCAAGATTAATTAATTAATTTAAAGTTGGATTAAATTTAATAGAAGTCTTTTACATATGTGTATATCTTGATCACTTCAATGAAGCATCCTCTTTTCCACAGTACAAAGAAAAATGATATGCTTTCTTGTCCCAAATGATAGGACTCTTACACCAATTAGGACATTCGGTTAAGGGTGGCAAATGAGGAGGAATTAGGTAACTTCCAAACAAGTAATTTAAACCTCAATGACTAAGAACCAGCTAGATAAGTCTGGAAAACTAAGAAAAACTCTTTCTATCATATGGCTTCTTTGGGGTTCATCACAAATATTCCTTACATTTCTTTAATTTAGAAAAGTTTTTCCAGCATGCCATGAGCACTATGCTTGAATACCATGGAATCCCATATCTTTGGAAACTCCTAATATTGATTTCAGGTTAGTGTTTTTGAGAATTTGATTGACATATAATCTCCAGAGCCGAAAGAGGAGAAATCCCAAGCTAAAAGAAGATAAAGCCTTGAGCAATTAAGGATTTTGGACAAGACAAATGTCTATTTTTTTCCTTTCAACTTCACAGGTTGAACCTAAATGGAAATCAAGGTGAGTGATTTGAACATATGGGACCAATCCCTTAGAACTTACAAAATTAGCATACCTAACATGTCATAGTTACAAAATTTTTGTTAGATACAGTAGTTGGTCCAAAATGGAGCAGTAAGTTAAGTGTTCAAGGTGGGGTAGCAGAACATGTTTTAGCCACATTGAAGCAACCAAAAAGTGCAGAAAGGTCTACAACTTTTTAACCTACCAAAATCTGGTTTAGATTACTGGCCAGGTGAAAATGGAAATCTTGTTAGTAAACTTTTTTGTCTGCTAGAAAACGTCACATGGCCTCAAGCTCTTTTCTGCTTAAATGGAGGACATAATTGCATATTGATAGAAAAATACAATTGGACAGATGGGTTAGTCTCCCTTCTTTCTTTGCATTGCTTCAATCCCTATGTGTCTTGAAACCAGCACTAAATGCCTAGCACGTGCACCCCTCAAATAACAACCCTCCGAGGATGGATCAATAACTTGGCTACCAAGGAAAAAAGTAGTGACCTCACCATGGAAAGAATCATGATGTTTGAAGAGAAAAATGGCAGGACATAGTGCTTTTCAAGCACTTTAACCCTGTGTTAAAGTACAACTTCGAGATTACTAGTAGGAAGCCATTGAAAACCAACATGCAAAAACAAAGCAAGGGATGATTTGATATCAGGCTCATAATGAACCAGGTAGGGAAATCTTCTGTTGATCTGAGATCCCAAGACAGCCCTGGCAGAAAAAAAAGTTCACGAGAAATCTAGCCAGATGACAAGTTGGTCAAAAACTCAAAACAGATCACGTTGGATTTCTGGTCTAGAAATGCTGCAAGTGGGGCCAATATAGTGGGAGCCTGGGAGGCCCTGCCTCCAAAGGACTAGTGCAACATATTAGCCACTAACCTCATGGACCCAACTTTCAGGACTAAGCTTGGAACCAAGGTCACAAGAAAAGGCAAGCCCTAATTTTATGGGGAAGAAAATGACTTAATAACTACTGATATAATCGAAAGGATAACGAGAGATGAGAACAATAAAAAGGATAAAGGGATGTTTGTGCCATCATGGGGCCCATAATATTAAGCAATGAAAAGAGAAGTAGTGGGTCACTGGGGTCTCACTCATCTTTACCACCATCTTCTTGTTATTGTGATGGGATGATCAGACATGTCTGTAGTGGAGAAGTTTGAAAAGGAGAAAAAAGAAAACCATGAATCTAGTTCAAATTCAACTTCCCGGTGGTTCTAGTTTCAGAAAACTAGTAACCGTAAATTCATTCAGCCGCAGCCAATGAAGCCTACTGAGACACCATTCAAGCATCTAGGGTATCCACACCCTCCATGTAAACTATGAACAATATTGCATACCATCTGAGAAATGTATATTTACCGTGTTTCAGAAACATTCAGCAATCCAAGATGTTATGGTCTAATCTGAGGCAGAAGAGTACAGATTTTCAAAGGTTACATGGGAGGAGAGCACAATAATTTTAGGGTAGCAGAAGGTCCTGAGGTGCTGACTAGCACTAAGCAAGTAAGCATGAGCGATTTAAAATTGGTCAATTATTTAAGAGATGCTGCCCCCTTTATTAAGAACAGCGGGCCACAAGGAAGAGAAAGAAAATGAGAAGAAAATCATAAATGCACAAATACATACACACATGTATAGACAGAAAGTCACAAATGCACATCCAAAGTCCTGAATGAGGTTAAATGAAACATTTGGATCATGTTCAATCATGCTCAACTGCCATAAAAAATTGCTTCACAGTAGGTTATACAAATCTATTGTAGTTGTATACATTTACACACCACTCCACAGGCACTTCCCAACTTATTTCTTTGGCTACATGTGGTATACCAGTTACCTATTAAAACTCTCCATAGATTATTAATCCATCACGATGACAGTCACCTCAAGCCTCATTTTCAGTATTCTCTTGTTCCTACTACTACTTTTACTGAAGATATCTTCCTCTATTCTCTCAACATCTAAGAATCTGAAGCATATCCCAACACTTTTAACTTAATATTAACCATTATCTCAAAGTTGTACACAGAAAGCAGAGTTGGTTGGAAAATCAGATTGCATTTGACCTCTAGTTAGTTGTTTCTTGGTAGGCTGCAAAGTTGTAAATCAACAACCATCATGAACAAAACACAGCTTCCTTTCCATCCAAAACAAGGTTTGCGTGGTCACACTTCGACACAATAGACCTGCACTCAACCATTCCTAAGCTAACACTAACATTAGCAACCTCCTAACAAACTGCCTCATTGCTTTTTACAGAACTCCAGCTTATGATGCTTTTCTCATGCTGATTCTCTGCAGTAGGCAAGATAATAATATTTTCTACAAACATTTCTATTCTTCTATTCTCCAATCTTTAGTGATTGCATTGACTAAATTTTCATAAACTATTACAGTTGATCATCAACATGGTGAAATGCGGACAAACAGCACTTTTGCCTATCCTTGCTCCAACAATGTCATGAATGGGTCCAAGGAGTTCCCATTAGCAATGAGCACCCATAGATGAAGGCTCCAAACTCCTCAGTGTAATATATATTCCTTCCAAATTGTGGCTCTCTTGAATTGAACTTGGCAGAACATAAGACACAACCATTACTAGAAATCTCTACACAGATTTTATCCACTACATACATGTGTACAATTGTATGTCTGTCAATGACTGAAACATAATTTAAAAACATTTTGTAGTTGTTACTTTTAAAACAGGCTCTAGATCCAGGAAGAAGATATCCTATTTAGTTAGAAACATGAAAACTTGTCTTGGTATTATCCCACTTATATTCATGTTAATGTTAGACGGTAACTAGAGGTTGTTTAACTTGCTGACACAGGAAGAATGCTCAAGTTTCAACTCACCATTCAAGCAGAAGGACAACCAATTCGGTTTAGTTAAGGGCAGAATTTGGGACAGAAAGAAAGTTCCATGTATAAATTGTACTAAAATTATAAGCCTAGTAATTCCTTCTGGCAAGGTTTCAACTTTCAGAATTGGCAGCTTGATTGAACTATCAACTTATCTAATGACGAGTCAAAAGTTGCCACTTCACACCTTCTGCACTGTGACAAGAACTCAGAATTCATATAATCTAATCAAATCTATAACAAATGTCATAGTTGGAACTACCACAGTTCTATTGTTAAATACAAAAACCAAACAGAAGAAGAAAAAGAAATCTTCCTTGACAATCAATAGGACAGACTGCTGCCAAAACACCATCAATGGCTTTCAAACAAGTAAAAAATGTATGAGAAACAAATCCCCCAATCCTTCCAGAAGCACCACATTTAGCACCTAAAGTTCATAATATTGCTACAAATGCCTCCACTTTATTTATTTATTTTTAAATAGAAGAATTTCATTAATCAACAACGAACAAAAAATTCCTTGAAAGAAAACAGGAACCATTGTACAGGAGGAAATAAAAGATGAAAAAGTGTCCACAAACAGTACGCCAGGAACAAAGCCAAAAACCCAAGAGCAGCAAAACACGGGAAAACCACTGGGGCCAAAAGCAGCAAGAAGAACAGAAGCATCAACAGATGCATGAGACAAACAGCAGCAAGAAGGCCAAACAAACAGAAACAGCAACAAGAGAGGAGCCAGACAGTGAACATCAACAGAAACAGCAGGAAAAGATTTGAGCGAAGAAGAGGAATCTCGAACATCCATCCACACAAAGACAGCAGCAACACAACACAAAACAGAGAAGAGAGCAACCAAGGAACAACACAGCAAGAAGAGAACAAACAGAATCAGAGGCAGCAGGCAGCAGTCATTGGAATATTTTTTACTTTTCACACATACTAGATAAAGTTCATCATTCCCATACCATCAGTCAGACATTGAGCCTGCTGCTGCTCAAAAGCACAACCATACATTATATCGTTGTTTTATGGATGACTTACAGATATGCAACACAATGTATTGACTAATGAACAAAGTTTTTTTTAATAATTAAAAGAGGATGAAGAAAAAGAAGCTTTCTTCAAGAACCTCAAAAGGGCCAAAGTTTGCATTATTAGTCTTCCACGAAGAAAATAGCTGTCCCAAACACAAAATACAGATAATGAAAAAAGAACAAAGTAATCTGTTTAGATGCATTGGTCACAACCCACACATAAACTTAACTGAAAAATGAAAATCAAATTAACTATATTCCAGCCATATACAAATTTACTTTGATAGATTGACCTCCAACATTGACATAGTTTCATCCAGAATTCATGAATTCTAACTGCAAAATTGGATTTTTTTTAACATAAAAATCCCTGTTTTAACAAATTTTCCACTACAAGAATTGATATTTCATTCTACAAAATATAAAATCAGGCAACTAAAACGAAAATCTAACACATTTTCCTATTAAATAACATTAGAAACTCTCACCAAAAATGAATGAACCTAAGTCTTTCTCCTGAGACGTTTCCTCAGCTTCTTGTATTTGTGCTTCTTCATCTTCCTCTTACTCTTTTTCTTCACACTATCAACCAAACGAAAGTTCATCTTCTGACTCATATGAGATCGACCCAGATGATGAAATGGGGTTTAAAGACAACCCAAATGAAATAACCTGGATAAAAAATGGAAGCTTTATAATTGGTCAAGTTCTCTGCTTTGAGTGAACCCTAAAAGTTTTGAGAAAGCTGGCTTGTTGGTCATGGTTTGGCTGTTAAGAACGAATTGCTAAGCAGCTGGATTTGGTGGTTGAGAGTTGGGGAAAGCAGAGACGAGCCTCGTGAGTGATGGTTTTCTAAGAACCTTTTGAAAGGAAAGGAAGCCATTGACGTCCAAAGTAAGAGAGTTTTTCTGCAGGGCTTTAGCATAAGAAAAGCATTTATTTAACAAAACCGAAAAGAGGAAATTATTTGTATTTTTATACCATTATAAAGGAGGAATATTGAATAAAAAGAATTTTAAAATTTTTTAAAAATATTTTTCCCTTGCATCTAAACATGAACCAAGTTTACAATTATTAAATCCGAAATATCTAGTATTTTGGGTTTTTTTTTCTTCTTTAGAAAAAGAAAATCAAAATGAATTTGTGGTGATTTCCCATTAAAATGCTTAAAAACAAAAAATAATGCTCAGTTCATATGATGGGGCATTATTAATCTTCAAACCAAGAAAAGGTACTTTCTTCTAAAGAAATACAGAATGAAAAGCAAAGAAAAAGGAGTTTCCAAAATATAATGAGGTAATCAAACATAATTATTTTATTAAAATATTGTAAACTATTATTGGTTGCCAGCTTTGGCTACATGGTGGCCATTGGCAGTACATGTCAAACACAAGCCTTAACAGGCCAATTGAAAGTTTGTAAGAAAATTGTAGATTTGAGCCCCAATCCTACAGGACATCATTATTTAGTGCAGGCAATAGGAGTGGGAAAAACAGGGAAGCCTCCCTGCAGCTTAAAACAGTGAGCCTGGAATACCTTGCTCATCATGGCAGCAGAGGAAAGTGGTGTATTTCTCCATGATACGGCGGCACTCTGGGCACCTCATGTTGTCGGGGATCCTTGTGGTGGTCGGGAACTCGAAGCGGCAGCAAGGGTGAGCGACATCATGGAGCCTGTCATGGTACTCCTTGAAAGCCAATTCAAAACCTTTTTCAGCCGCATTCACCTTCCATTCGTCATAGCCTCCCAATGCAGGCACAACTGTGGAGGAATGGCCATTCACCATGACATTAGACCCCCTGCTGAACACTGCCCATCCACCTTCTCTATCATAGCTAAGCAGCTTCTTGATTTGTTGCATCATGGGGTCATGGTCATCAGCCCTGCCTAACTGAATCTTGGAAAACAGCATACTCTCTAACCTGGTCCAGAAGAACCACACCATGGCCTGATCTTGCCAGGCGTAGCTAAGCTTCTCCATATTGATAATTCCTATCACCTTCTTGACTTGCTCCCTTTTGCTGCTTTTCCCCACGTAGACCATCTCTAGAGGAATACGAGCTGCAGTAGCAACACTGCGTGCTGTGGTTGCAAATTTTCTCACCCACTCAACATCGTCCCCTCCAAACAAGAAAATGTATTTGTCCTCTTTAATCTGATCAAAGCAGAATAATTCCAGATCAAAATCTAATCTTAGATGCATGAAGTTGAAGTAGTAAACATTTATATATATATATATATATATATTTTCCAACTGCTTAATGAAAAATTGGTGAAGTTTGAATATGTAAATATATATACCCAATTGAGGATTATTGGGTCAATGCCATCAACCAGCAGCTCAAGCCTCCATGTCTCTTCCCTCCAGAGAGCTTCTTCTCTCAAGCTAGTGAAGGGGAATGCATTGCTTCCCCAAATCCACATCATGTGGATTGCATTTGGGCAAACCACCTTCCCTTGAGGGTCTAGCACGACAAGGATTGGCTTGTTCCTGAAGTGCCAAACCTCCTTGATGAACCTGATGACTGGCTTCTCTATGAGTTTAGGGTCCTGCACCGAGTACCATGGCATGGTGCTTCGCAGGTTCTCAAATTTGGTCTGAATTTCATCAGTCAATGGGACAACAGAACGGTCCACAACTGGAATCCAAACAACCTCATACTGACTCTCTAGCCTTGTCGCATGGACCCTGGACTCATTATATATCTGCTCAAGAATCGCAAGTTCATCACTGGAGAAGTCCAGGCTTGATATGAGCAAGAGCACATTTTTCCTTCTCAGCACGTCTAGGCTAACCTGTGAATGCCAATACAACAACAATTTTGAAATATAACCTACAATTAAAACCTCGGGAAATAAAAATTGAAAAAGGGCCATACATGTCTCTTTGTAGAACCGTCGAGAAGGGGCAGTTTATCATCCTTGACATAAATCAAGGCCTTGAGAATTTTCATGTTGTCAATGTGCATCACGGTCGGGTCAAAGAGATTCAGAAGCATCTGGTATGTTTCAACATCTTTCCTTTCATCTGTAATTAACAATGATAAAATCATCCATTAGAATCTTCAATTAAGTTTTCTGGTGTTGCATTATCTAACAACATGTGCTCCCATAACTACAAACCTATGTATTTGTTGCAAAGACTGAGCTGCTGCTTCAGATGTTCATATATGTTCTTGAGTTTGTGAGCCAAGCTGGACAACTCCCACGACTCTGCGGTTGATATTGCAAACCTGAAAGTAAAGAAAACTATTAATCCAACTATTTTAACCTTAAATTACAAACTCATCGCCCTGTATAATTAAGTGTTGCTTATAAGATGATCAAGCAAAACATACTCATGACCCATGCTAGTGAGGTTGCTAATCTGGGTTGCACAAGCCACCATACTCCTGATGGTCCAGTAGACAGCAGTTGGGATATGGGTCATAGCAGTGGCCAGTGCCGGTACCTCCTGTGAAATGTACATTGATGGTAGCTCCTTGAACTCAACAACACATCTAGTCACATCCATCATTGTCCTGATTAAATTGTTGAGTGCATCAAACCGGGGTTTCAGAGGAGCAGTGTGTTCCAGGATTGATGGTAGTTGCTTCAGGATTGCCATTGACTTGGCAAGTTGGTTTGTTGAGTAAATCTGAGCAAGAAGCCAGAATTCTCCATAGTTCAGGGCAAAGGCTGATAGGGACAGCACTAGCTTAGCATCCCATGCATAACTTGATAGCAAGTTGAATATTGCTGTTGTTGTTGCATGTGCATCGGAACCTCCCATAGCTTTGTATGATAGCTGGCAGTTAAAAATGTTTGTAACATTGAGATATTAGTATTTATGAATAATAAATATGCCATGATTGTACTAATTTTTTTCAGTTGTAAAGAAAAAAGAGAATTGTCTGATTATAATTTACAGAACCTCGCATGCAATTCGATCAATGATAAACGTTAGAGCTTCAAGCATAGCTATATAATTTGCTTGCTGGGTTTTTTCTTCCAATTCAATTTGAGCTAGAGTACCCTGCAGTGAACATCAGAAAGGTGAGCGTTTTCAACAATTTGTTTAACAGGACAAGTGCAGCTTATGTTATCCTACCTTAACAAGGAAATCAACATGCTGGGTGGCACGATTGAGAATGTCCTCAACCAGATAGAGAAGAGGTCTGACGTCAACTTCTCGGCCATCTGGGGCATGGGTTGTCATAATTTGCTTCAGCATCACATTGTCATCTGACATACTTAACATGCTCCCACGGTCACTCCGGATGAGTGCATGACTAGCACTAGGACTCTTCATGAGCACCTGAGCAGCACTGGGTTTGCTGATAAATGGCTGATTAGCACCTGAAGTGCTGATATGTGGCTGAATTGCACCAGGATTGCTGTTGATTTGCTGACCAACACCAGGGTTGTTCACGAGTGGCTGAGTTGCACCAGCAGTAGTGAGGAGTGCATGAGTAGCAGCACCAGGATTATTCAAGAGTGCGTGGGCAGCACCAGGGTTATGGAGGAGTGTCTGAGCAGCAGCAGCGGGAATGTTCAGGGGTGCGTTCATTGGTGCCTGAAGAGCACCGGGGTTTGCCTTCTGAGCCATCGGAGATTACAGAAAAAACGAAAGGCAAGAAGAAAACTTGGGTTTTGGGTGCAGAAGATAAGAGGAGAAGATGGTTTTGTGTCTTTGCCTGCCATGAGCCCAGCCTATTTATAGCCATCCCAAAAGGAATAAAGCTTGCTTGAATCAACTTCCTTGCTTCGTATCCAATTAAATTGTTGGATCGTTAAGAAGAAGCCTATTACTTTAAGTGGTCCTACCGTCCCTCCTCCTCTCACTTTATTGCCGTTTGTCGGGGACCCTGCAGAAGTGTTTAACATGGTTGTTTGATTTTAACGTAGTCCAAGACTCCTTGATAGGAACAGGATAGGACACTTTAGAACTCCATTGTGGGACCTTAAATCCAAATCCTTGAGCTACGTACCTCAGCACCAGTTGAAGTTTTAGAGATATAAACTAGAAAAACCTTTGGCTAACCTTGTGAGGATATTGATGCCAACAGTTAAACAAATTAATGACCATTTTTGGTGTAGGATTGAGGTACAGATTAGAAAAAGGCTATAAACAGACGGTCCCAGGTGAGAATATACAGTATCACAAGCTTCAAAATAAACAATCATGGCCGTCAAATAAAAAGTGAACGAGAAACATGCTGATAGCCAGTGCTGTGCTTAGCTTCCTTACTTGATTCCGTTTTTTACGTGTGCCCATGACTGAGAATTTTTCTCTACTGCAACAACAAAGAGTGACATGAAGAAAAGTGACAGATTTTATTCTCTGCTTTTTCTAAGGCAAGCAGAAAAATTTACTTAACAGCCCAGCAAACCTAGCATTTATATCCTTTGTTAGATTTGATTTTTTGCTTTTAGTTATAATTGTCTGCAACAGGAACTTAATTATGTCACATGGCTTTAGCTTCCTTTCTAATGACAACCAATGATCAACTGGACTGGGTAACAGCTTCAGCTTTACTGCTCCAAAGGAGCTCCTTTCTTTCCCCTTAAAATCTTTGCTTGTCTTATCAGTACAGTAACCTCCTTTGAAAGGTTCAAAATGTAACCAAAACTGGAAGGCTATGCTCAGAACCTACATAGGTTACAGATTTTCCTTTTATGTGTGATAAAAATACCCAACAAAGGATTTTCAACTAATCAGCCGATGAGAGAAAAATAACAATTAACTAAATATTAATAACAGACTAACTAACATTTGAAAAGAGTAAAGTGAAAAGAATAAAGCTTTAAATGGTAACAATGGAAGGCAGGTATTAGTGATACAATGCGTTCCATTCCTCCTTTATTTTCTTCTTCAATGAAACAGTGCATACAACTCTTTTAGTCTTGCTCACTTATTTTTGAACTTCTTCTTCTTCAAATCTTAGCCTCCTTCATTCTGCTTCATCTTCCAGGTTTATTTATCTACAGCTCACATCTAATAATGTGGATATGTTCATGCATGCTGAAAGGCATGATAAAGATTCAACTCTTGATAATTTCCTAGTATGCATTTTTGGCTAATTACCCTTACTTTGTAGGTTATTACAGTGATATGCAGGTTAGAAAATCTGATTCTGTATGGGGTACATACTATAACAAGTAAGGTCCTAAACATGTATGACAAAAAGAAAAAAAGTGTGGAATTCAAGTCAGCATCTTAATAGTTGCATTAAACAGTGTTCTCATAAAGTTCTAATTGAATTACAAGATCTTTGAGGTGGCTTATTTTATGTTGAAGTCTAAGGAATATCGATCCGTTACTGGTTAGGAAAGCTGATCAGATGCTAAGTGAAGCAATTAATGAAACTGAATAGTCACAGACATGAAACTCAAGACACAGACCTTAGATATAAACAGTGCAACTTAGCAACAAAATCAATGTATTTGCATTGCTGGTGAAATAGAACAACACTTTCTTTCTTTCAAATGAATACAATAAAGTTTTTTTGTTGTTGTATCTTTGATTATTGAAATGAAGGGTAAAAAGTTCTTATGATGTGGTTACAAAGCTGCTGGTCAATTCTCTTATTATCAATGATCATATCCAAGACAAAAATAGAATACTGTAATCAAAAGACTTGTTATTATATCTTAATAAAGAACTCACATAATATCTGTATGTTAAACCACAAGGTTTAACTCAGATATTTTCTTACATGGTGAAATTTGAGAGAGAAATATCAAATAAAAGCACACAGTTTCTGAAAGCTCATTCTTGTTTAAATTATTGCAAGCCTTTAATATATAAAAGGAACATCTTCTCATCATTATTATCAGTTCATCATCAATAGTAGCATAGCAGCATCTATGTTTATGTTCCTTTATTCATCGCAGCACCGGTACAGGATGTACCTCTCCATCATACGTCCACAGTCAGAGCAGGTCACTCTTTCTGGAATCCTACCAGTAGTACCAGGTAGCTCAAGTCGGTTGCAATGATGTGGGGCTGGATGCTGTAAAAAGTAATCATGCACTGCTGGCACCAAACCTTTTGTCTGCAGATCCGTTGCCCACAGATTATACTCCGTTAAGCAAGTTAAAAATGTACTTCCCTTGGCTCTTGTCAACTCTGCTGAACCTCTACTAAGCAAAGCCCATCCACCTCCACTGCCATCATATGTAAGCAATGTCATGATTTCCCGAGTTATAGGATCATTCTCATCATCTTTGCCAAGTTGGTACTTGGAGTACCACATGCTCTCTATCCTAATCCAGAAGTACCAAACTGCGGTCAGGTTTGGCAAGCAGAAGCTGAGCTTTTCAGCAGTAATAGTAGCCATGTTTCTGCTGACACGCTCCTTTGGATTGCTTTTTCCCACATAAACCATTTCCAAGGAAAGACCAGAAGCTCTTGCAAAAGAGCGTACAGCGTTCGTGAATTGTCTGATCCAGTCCATGTCCTCTCCTCCATACAGGAATATGAATCTTCCTTCTGATATCTGATAAAGAATAGAATTTCATATATACTAAGCCATGAGGGAGTTTATGTAGATACAGAAAAAGAAAATCAGTACTGGAAAATTGAGTAACAATTGCATACATTAAATGTTTTTAGTTAGAGGTAGCAGGTTCTAAGACATATTAGATTAGATAGACATACCCAGTTCAGAATCACAGGATCAATGCCACCCACAAGCAACTCAAGTCTCCAAGTCTCTGCCCTCCATAAAGCAGTTTCCCTTTCAGTGGTGAAAGGGAAAGCCAAAGAACCCCAAATCCACATCATGTAAAGTGCATTTGGGCACGTGACCCGTCCTTGTGGATCTAGAACCACAAGAATAGGCTTCTTCTCAAAATGCCACACTTCCTTGATAAACTTGAACACTGCCCGATCAATCAGTGAAGGGTGTTGCAATGTGTACCATGTCATAAGAGCCTTTAAGTTCTCAAATTTATCTTTCTTGATCTCAGACAATGGCACAGATGGGTCTAGCACTGGGAGCCACACAAACTCATATTGACTTTCCAGCCTTGATGGTTGGCTGCGCGACTCATTGTATATCTGTTCAAGAATGGCAATCTTATCTTGCAAGATGTCTAGATCTGATATGAGCAGTAGAACATTTCTTTTCCTTAGAACATCAATATTAACCTGGTTTTTGTCAAATAAAAGGAGGATGACCGATCAGGGAGCAGAAAAGCTATAAACCAGCACCGTCTATCAGGACTGGGAAAAAGCTTACTAAATTTTCTTTAACAGTAATATTAATCCCAAAGTATTAGTCGATGAGCATAAATTATAATTACATTTGTATGTTATACAACAGAAGTAAATAATTTTAAGTTTCTTTTTAATGGTTTAAAGAAATATATCCAAAAGAAAACAGTGAAGAATTAAAAACAAGAGCAAACCCTTCTGTTGGTGGCTCCATGAATCAGTGGTAGTGGATCATCCTTTGGGTTAATCAGTGCCTTGAGAATCTTAATGTTGTCAATCTGGGCTGTCTCATACAAATACAGAAGGTTCTGATAGGCTTCTAAAAATTTTCTTTCATCTGCATCAGGAGGTTTTTAGCCCCGTTAAATGGTAATCATATAAATGCTGCATCTACCATTGATAATATTGTGTTAGCCATCGTAAGCTCACCTATGTGCTTATGGCAGGCAGCTAGCAGACCAAGGAGGTGGCTGTGCATGCTATCAAGCTTGTGAACCAAGCTTGATAGCTCCCAGGACTCCATAGTGGATAAAAGATACCTGAAACCAACAAAATCTCATATTTCTCACACCAGCATCAAAAGCATAAATGATTTATCTATTTCTTCCTAAGGATAATGGAAATTATGGCTAAAAAAGCTAGACTCTTAAATAAGTACCAAAATAGTTTACAATAATTATAGGAGTCACAGAACTTGCTCTAGTAGCTAGCAGATAATTATTGTTTGGGTCACTGGCAAGTAACAAACAAGGACCTGTAGCAGGCTCTCGGATATTTTAAGTTCTACAAAAAGCAGCAGTATGTAAATGGTGGCAAATTGGCACATACCCTCTGCAACCTCGGAGTTTTCTAGGTGATCGGATTTCATAAATTAGAGATCGATAACATAATTTACACTAAAAATATAAAAGACGTACTCATTCCCCAATCCTGAGAGGCCAGTAATCTGAGATGCAGTTGCCAACATGCTTCTGATAGTCCAGTAGATAGCAATTGGTATATGGTCCATGGCTGTGGACATTGCGGTGACATCAGCTGAAATGTACTTCAATGGTAGCTCCTTAAAGTCAACTATACACTTGGCGATATCTAGCATAGCTCTGATGAGATTTTTAATTGTTTCAAACCGAGACTTCAGCAGGCTTGAGTGCTGTAAGATTTCAGGCACTTGTCTGAGGATAGCCAGATTTTTGGCTAGTTGGTTTGAGGAGTAACTCTGGGCAAGGAGCCAGAACTCCCCATAATTAACTGCAAAAGCCGATAAAGCTATCACCAATTTGGCATCCCAAGGATAGTTGGATACCATGTTCAATATGGACATTGTAGTTGCATGTGCTTCCCCAGTTTCAGTGCATTTAAACGCAATCTGCAATACCAGAACTGTTTAGTCACGAATACATTTTCCAGCATTTATACAGAGATCAGGGAGAGAGAGAGAGAGAGAGAGATACTAACCTCACTGGAAATCCGATCAATGAGAAACGACAAAGCCTCAATCATGTCAATGACATTGGCTTGGTAGGTCTGGTCTTCCACTTCTTCACTTTGGGGCTGTTGGACAAAAAATGAATTAACAGCATAAGCTAGTGCTAGAAAATAAAAATAAAAGAAGGCAGATGGCTTGCATAACTTTATAGAGTTTAAATTCTACAGCATCAAAAATTTCTTTAATATATATAAATCCAGTCCAAGTTCTGCTAATTATCTAAGTTACCAGAATAATTCAGACACCATTACACTACCCAAATGCCCATGATATATAGTAGTATCATCGTTGGCAAAATTTATTTGCTCTAAGAGTAGGAAAAAGTAATGTAAAATAGAGTGATCAGAATAGGAAGTTTCACCAGTGCAACAATGGCGCTTGGGGCAGCACGATTGAAGATGTCTTCAACAATGCGCAGAAGAGGTCTGACATTGATGACACGCCCGTCAGGAGCATGACTTGCCTGAATTTGCTTTAACATCACGCCGTCATCAGATGCTGAGAACTTCAGTTTCTCACCTACAATGGGTTGCTGCTGCATTTTGGCTGCAGGTGTTAGCCTGGACTCCATGTAGGCTTCTAATGCAGAATCACTGAATGTTTAGGGTGGTGGGAGTGAAATAACAAAGGCTATATGTTTTTCTTGCGAGTAAGCCCTGGCCTTTATATAAGATTACATGAAGGGTAAAAGCCAAGTCGGATCTACTTCCTTGCTTGCTTCCAATGTGGTTTCATCCTTGAAACTTCAGGAATACACATAAAATCAAAGCATACTCACTATTGAAAGGGGCCCATAAATCTGCAGCAGTAGATTTACTACATGCAAAACATGCATCATCAAACAGGCTCTGTCTGGTTTTTAACCATGTATCAATGATTAAAACAATATGTTCCTCCTGTTATCCAGTGGTTTAGAGAAAACTTTGTGCTTCCTTGCTTGATAGATTTGTTTTAATATCCTAATGGGGAATAAAACAAAGGGAATACGAAGGCAAAGGTGTACAAGTTATGGTTTTGTTCTTTGCTTCTTCTTTTAGCACTGGAAAGCTTCTGACTATGATACACCACTGCTTTGTTGAACGACAAAGAATCCAAATCCATGAATGTTTGAATTAAGTTGATCTGAATATTTTTTTTTTGTCTTTGTTAAAAATAGAAAAAAAAATCGATGAAATTAATTGTATGATAAGAAATTCAAAATATGTTAGACTTTGGAGTTATCTTAATGAAAATTTCGTTTTCTTTTTTTTTTTTTTACATTAATGAAATTTAAGAATTAACTAATAAATCTATGTACCATTCATCAATTTTAAAAATATATTTTCCATATCTGTATTCATATAAATAAAAACTATTAGCTAAACAATATTTTTATTAAAATGTCAATCTAATTAAAACATCTATCATTTCATGATTACAATTCAGGATAGAGGAAAATATATGATTCATCGTTTAAAAATAATATTTAACATAATTTAATTGCATAAATATTAATTTAAAATATATAATAACTCATTAATATATTAACTAGTCAAATTAGTAATTTAGATTTCTTATTAATATAATATTTAGTCCATATATAAACTATATATATATATATGCATAATTACTTATTAATATACTAATTCGTCAAAAACTATATATTAACAATATACTATAATAGTATATTAATATATTTATAAGTAATATATATAATAATATCTTGTGCAAAAGTTCTTGACCAAATTCTTCTTCCAACAAAGACGGTAAAGATGAAGAATGATATTACATCCTTCATACAATTTGATTCTGAATCTTTGCACAAAGCTTGAAAAAGGTACAAAGATTTATTTTGAAGATGCCAACACAACGGTCTAATGGGGAATGAGATTTAAATTATTTAGCAAACTGTCTTCCAGCAAAGGAGTTGACTAACATATTATATGTTATAATTAATAATTGATTTAGTCATAATATCATTTATGATTCTGTGTTATATAATGCCGATGTAGTAGACTAACATATTATAATTGATGATAACGTAACATACTGATTTAGTATGATAACTTAGTTACGTAACACTTCTTATCATCCATATCAATATTATATCAATATCATATGAATATAAAATGATAAATAATATTTTAATTAATAATAATTAATTAATTAATAATTATAAGTATTTATTTGATGTAAAATCAAAACATACGATAAATAAATAATTTATTTAAATTTTTTAAATAATTCAAAACTTTATTTAAACATGATATAAAATAAAAGTGAGGACTAACCTTGCCACGTCTCATCTTCACAAGGGCGGGGAATGAATGCTAGAAACCCCTAAATCTTCCCCTCTTATTTTCCTAAATGGTTAAACCTTAACGCTGACCTCTCGTCCGGCCAAAATATCACCTTCCTGGCCAAATACACGGCTAAGAAATTTGGAGCGAAGCCCTTTCTTTGATGGGCAGCATTCGTCTTTACATTAAAGTAAAATAAAGAAAAAGGTTCGTCTTTTTCAGCTTTGAAAACTTTTGAAGTTTCATTTCCGTCGATTTATTTCAATTGTTCTGCTGGAAAAGCTCGTGTGTGAATATTTTGGCTGATTGGATTGTTTTGTCTTTTTTTCTTCTTTTTAATTTGTTCTTTTTGTTGATGATTTCTTTGAAAGCGATGTGTGTCAAATTTTATTTTTTTTCCTCAATGGAGGGTCGAAAGTTTCGAACTTTCATAATGGGTTTGAATATTTTCTGCCAATTTTAATGGGTTATTCATAATTCACCTTGAGTTATCAGTTTCCATTGTCTCATTTTGAAGGTTGATTGAGGTTGAACACTTGAGTTTAATTTTGTACTAATGAGATATCACACTGTTGATTTTAGGAGGAAGGGGCTGTATAGATAACTTATAAGCTAAGGTAAAACTTTTTTTTATTTTAATTTCTGTAGTAGAATAAGTGGCTTTTCTTTCTTTTTTTTTAAAAAAAAGAAAAAGCTGTGTTCTTTGATTGGTTATATGTTAGTGTTAGCATATAACATTCTTTGTGTCGTATATTTAGTTTGATGATGTCTTTCTTGGAGCACATGGATTAAATTGATTGAAATTGGAGTGGAGAGACTAAATGAACATTTTGGAATGGTGTAGGGACTGGTCAGGTACTTTCCTCCATTGGAAATCAATGCAATACTATGAAAGAAATTCGCAAATTTATCAAAACTAATATCTATTAATAAAGATTTGAAAAGGTTTAGATTAGTTTTTTTAGTAGTTTTAATTTTTGTACATATTAACAGAATTTTTTCATTAATGCTTGCTTTAAACAAGAAGAGCTATTATTTATGATGGTGCTTCATCCTATTATGCTTTACTTGTTAATCTAAACTGATTTGGTGGCATTGTTGTAATGAAATATAGTTGTATCTAGAGCAGTAGTCTATCTGTCATGTCAGAGGCATATAGAGATTCATTTGGTTCGGTCGAGCAATGTAAAGCTGGACCAGATTTCTTTGGCTTCTATGCTCGTGAAATAGCTGATCTTTTGTCTCCAAATGAGAGTACCCTATCCACTTCCAATGCATCTGGGTTGTCCCAAGGCAAATATGGGATGGTCAATGGAAAAGAGGCTATGGACTGTAGCCATAAAGATGCGAGTTCATTATTTGAAAACAGCATAGGTGCTGGGTTTTCAGATTTCAAAAAAGGAAAATTGAAGGCATTACTTAGGCAGAGTGTGAATGATCTTTCAATGGAAGTTGATGAGGTATAGATTCTCTCTCCTTTCTACTCTCTTTTTTGATGATACATAAGTAATGGTTCCAGCTGTTGAAGATTTCTAGAATTTGATTTATTAGGAATGTTTATGGTTTTTGTACTCGCAAAATTTCTAGAGTCAGTATAGAATACAATATGCTATTTCTTTAGTTGTAGTAGTATCCAATGATTATATTCTCTCCTAAGTCATATTGAAACCATCCATAAAATAAAATTGGAAGTCTCATTGCCCTTATGCTTGTGTGCTCATGCACTATATCGCTTTCATAATTGTATGTCGTGCTGCTTTCAAGTGCTAATTTTGTTTCTAGTGATCAACATAGGTTCCAATACTGAATAGAGTCATAGGAGGAATCTTATGTTCCATTGTTCTCTCGTTTTTCTTTTTTTGCCCTTCCCATTTTAGTTGTTCTAAGGCTGAACCACTGTGGTATCATTTTCCTGATAACAGGTTATGGAAACAGTATTATCATTGTTGATATGAATTTTTGGCATTCAGTATGCTATTTTAAATTTATTGCACAAACATGTTCATATGTACTATCATTTACATGATCCCCTTTTTGGCACTTATCACCTTGTGGCAGCTTATGGCTTGCAGCCTCAATGGTGCCTTTCTTTTTGGATTACTTGAATTGCCTCTTTATGTTACCTTCTTTATATTTCCTTTAATTACTAAATGAACACTGACGCACTCAAGTAGATTTGTGTTTGGTTCCCATCTTCAGATGAGAACAAAATTGGCATAATATCTAAAACTCTTAAACTATTTAAGAAAATTTAATCAAGTCCTTATGCTTTTATTTTAAACCAAATAAGCCCTTATGACTAATGGTTGACTTAGTTATAATGCCACTTGTCATTCTATATCACATGGCACTGGCATGTTGTAATGGATGATAATATGGTATGATAATGTGATATGATACTATGATCATGTAATATTTTGCACCCTCCATATTAGCGTTACATCAGTATAATGTGAGCATAAAATGACAAGTAGTGTTTTGACTAATTGTAATTAATCAACTATGAATTACAAAGATTTATTTAATCCAAAATAAAAATATGTTGATACAATAGAAAATATGGACTTATTTGAATTTTTTAAAATAATATAAAGGCTTTTTTGAGTATTATGTGAATGTAACAATTTAAAAATGTGATTATTGTAGATGTTACAACCTGTCGTGGCCAAAAAAAAATTGTAACAGTTTAATAATGTGGTTATTGCAGATGTTAGATCCTGTTGTGGCCATGTGTCAGTTACGGTATAAGCTCAAAAGCAACAATTTGTTGACTGCAGCATCAAATGATAATGCAGCTAAAATTGCCTACAAGAAACCTAAGATTTCGTCTTCTTGCTCATCAGCTAGCATCACTGCAAATTCTTGTCCTATAAAATCTGGATCTTGTGAAGAGGTTATATTCTACTCTTGGTATAATGCTCAAGAAAACCCTCAAGTTATCAAGAAAATTCAATAAGTTGTTTTTTATTACGTTCCATTAAGTTTCTATAATTTATTTTGAAGTAAATAAACCTTCGTAACTAATGGTTGATTAATTGTCATTAGTCAAAATGTCGTTGGTCATTTTATGTCAATGCGATGCTCATGTGAAGGGCGAAAAATTGCACATCAACATGTTCCGATTCATCATCTATTGTGACATGTTAATATATCACATTAGCATCACATTGCATAAAAATGATAAGTGGTATTTTAATTAAATCAATCATTAGTCACAAGGATTTATTTGACTTTAAATAAAAATAAAAAAAAATATAGAGGTTTGATTTAATGTAAAAAAAGAAAAAAAAGTTTATTTGAATTTTTTTAAATGGTTTAAAAATTTTTTTAAATGTTATGCCTTTACTTTTCATCATCATTGTTGAATCTTGATACCGATTCCCCTTTGTATATTTCTTGCATGATAAAAAGAATAAGCACACGCATTTTCTTGAAGTGGCATATTAGATTATAAGAAATCTCAAATAACATGTATACTTGAACCGGACAGTTTGGAGACATGAACGTGCTTTTGCAATCCAACATTTATAATTAGGTTGTTGGCTGTGGAACATCGGTGGCATTTCATTTATATGTAGCATCAATTAATTTCTGCACCCATTTGCGCATATTATTGCATGTCCATGTATCTATACTGCTGTGTGCATGTGTTATTTGAATCAGCAGAGGCACTTTGAGCATGTGCTTTACAAAATCGGGCATCATTATTAGTTACTTATTAAAAATGTGGTTTTTGTTTTACTTTCTCATTCTTTCTAGGTGGAAGATGACTTGCGGTTCCTTTTAGAGAATGATAACCCATTGCTGGTAGAGGAAACAATGAAAAAATATTCTGATGAACTATCCTCAACGGTGATTTTCTAAAATTGTCATTTTCTATAATATATAACAATTCGTACTCTTCTATTTCATCTATGCCTCTATGGCAAATTATATGTCTAATAATATGGTAAATTATTGTTTATAGCTGAACTAAGGTGGTATATTATTCATTTTTCCAGCTATTGCATATGGAGCAGAAGCTTGAAGAAACTTTAGACACTATAATGTCCAAGTGTAGGTATGTTTTTCTTCCGAAGGAATTTGTAGCTTGAGTGTGCTCTAGACATAATGTTATTTAGCTACAGGGTAATAGGCACCTATTATAAATTTTATCTTTCAAATAAGCATTAAATAGTTCAGCAGAAAAGTTTTCTTAGATGGATGTTATAATACTGCCTCGTTTCACTTTACCTCCATCAGTGTAACTTCAATCCACAGGCCCATGACACTTTTTGAGAAGCAGCAGCTTCAAAAGTTGATTCACAAGCTGCCTCAGGAAAATCTTGTGCGTGTTGTAGATATTATCCAACACGGTAGGCCTGCTGGAAAATCTTGTGGTGAAGAAATTTTTGTTGATTTGGAACAAGAGGTAAAGAAATAGCTGTAAGGTATATGGTTTTTTGAGTTATTTGAGAATGTCTAATCTGTTCCAGGACTATGTCTTGCAGAAAAATGTAACACTATGGAGATTATATTACTATGTGGAATCAGTTGAGAAAGCCAAAATGCTTGCACATTCACAGTGTAGTAGAACCCAAACATTATAGCCATCCCTTCTGAGACTATGACTGGAGTTCAGAAGCCTTCTATTCTATCAAGACTATTAGCATATATCAAGCCTTCTAAGACCTTGTAGTACTTTAGCCCTCTTGCTTGAAGTAGCTATATGGACATTTGTCGGCATTGTCGAGCAGTGGAGATTTTCAAGATCTTCTCTGCAGATTCTAAAAGATCCTGATTGCTTGAATCATTTGTCTTCAGGGAATTGACAAAACTGCATTAACCCATAAATTTGATACCTTGGTATGGAATGCAGTATAGCTTTAAACAGCTCTGTACAGTCACTTGCTAAGCAAGTGAGATCAAAGTTTTGTACTTTCCTTTTATATCTGGTGTTTGACAAGCATGTTATATGCTTTACGGGCAGTTAAGTGAAAGTTTGGAGTCAAGCAGAGTTTCAGCCTTTTAAACTGTACTTACACAAAACACCCTTTATTTTTCCAATTGATAACAGTTAAAACAGTTTCACTTTGATGTCAAAGGATAGAATTTAAACCATTCAGCTTGCTAAAATGAGACAACTTTGATCAAACAGCCCTCAACTTTTGGTCTTCCTTCATTCTGTAAAGAGCTCATATCTTAATTTAATTAGTTAGAACTATTGTTAGTGATATAAACTGTAGCAAGAAGTTAACCATCGTGATTAGGGACATGTATTAATATTGAATTTCTGTAATAGATTCCTTAGTTGAGAGATATAACAGTTTTACAGTTACAAATACATATGGTTTTTTCTCTCATTTCTTTTCTATTGTTTGCTTTTTTGGGTTTCTTTAGATTCATCTTGAATTACACAGGTTAATAATTTGAAGCTTCACTGGTGTTTAAATCAATATATGCTGGAGTGTTGATTGGAAGTCATTGGAATTTCGAGAAATCTCTAAAAATTCTTAAATTATCAGGTTCCTTTGTTTCTTTCTTCAATTTACTTAGATTCTTAAGTGATAATGGTTGATACTTCTACCAACAAATCTTGTTTGGAAGATCTCCTTTCACCTTATTATGTTCATTACACTAAACATCATGGTTCGGTGGTGATAAATCCTAAATTATCAACTGAGAACTATATATTGCTTGGAGTTGTTCTTTTCTTTTAGCACTCTCCATCTGTAACAAAATTGGCTTTTTGGATGGTACAATCACACCATCGAAACCTGGATATGAGCTATTTGTAGCTTGGAATAGATGTAATAATCTAATTGTTGTCTGGTTGTTGGGAGTCTCAGACACCAATGTTAGCCTCTACACTGTTTTACATGAAAACAGCACATGAAATTTAGGACATTTTAAAAGAGAGGTTTATCCAACCAGAGGACACTCATATTTGCAATATAGTTTTTGTTGATGCAATCACAACCATTAATAAATGTTTAAAAATAGTTTCTGAGGTCTAATTTTAAGTTGAAGGATCTTGGAAAGTCAAAATATTTTCTTGGAATAGAAATAACTAGATCACACAAAGGGATTTTATTGTGTCAAAGAAAATATGCTTTGAATTAAATTGGAAAACATGATCTATTAGGAGCAAAGCCTACATTTACACCAATTGAGTTACACAGATCTAGCTGAATGAAGAATTCCATCACATTCATATACAGGTTTGAAGTTCTTGTAAGCTATGATGGCATAAAAAGGGTCTGAACCAGAAAGCAATCCGAGCCACCTCATGAACCAACTGAATGGTGATTTGTCATCTTGAGCATTAGCAGCAGTTGGTAATTTTCGGATCACTTCTGGCTGCGTAAATCCTTCGATGCACTGGAAATACTGCAGGATCAGTTGTACACGACTATATGCAGTTCCATCTCTCCAGGCACTGATGGCTTTCTCATAGAATAGTCTATTGCTAAAGCTTACAATGAATACCCCTCCTGGCCTAAGCACCCGAAAAACTTCTGCAAATACCTATAACGAGTAATCATGATCTTGGTCAGTTCAGACTTCAGACCCTTTCATTGATTCCTATATAAACTTCATACTCTGATAAACAAAATAACATCAGTTTACCTTCTCAGGTTGCTGAAGGTACTGTACACTAACAGTACATAGCACGGCATCGAAGCTTCCATCTTCCATCTCAAGTTTTTGATCCTGGTTTAGATCCTTGACAAAGAAGTAATCCAGCCTAGGGTTCTTGGCAAGCTCCTGAGCATTAAGGCCATGTCCAACCACTCTTTTGTACACAACTTCCTTTGGCAGATGACTAACCCATGAGCTCATAATGTCAAGGATCTCCGAGCCAGGTCTTAATCGCTCCCTATACAAATCTGTTAATATGGCAATGAAGCCATCATCAACATGAGTCACGAAGCGCGGAAAAGCATAGAATTCCCTGTCAGGAAACGTGTTGAGTTTGGTTCTGCCTTCATTGGTAAGCACCAGTCGTTTGATTCTGCCTGCTTTGTATTGGTTTGCTTCCTCGTTTTCATTCAAAGTGCTAGAAATTTTAAGTGGAAGAAGCCTGGTTTTGAATAGAAGAGGAGAGGAAGTTTGTGTATTTGCTGCAATGGAAGGGTGCCATGGCTTGGGTTTTGCGTGAATAGGGAGCATATGTTTTCAGGAATCTGAAATTGTTCCAATTTTTCCTAAGGTGCGCTTTCCATATGATTGCAGAAAAGCTTGGAGGTTTGTGGCTGTAAATACTTGCAGATATACACTAGGGGCCCAGAAAACTTGTGCCAAAATATGCTCATGTTGGGCTTTTATATAATGTATTCAATGTCATAAGGGCCCATATTTGATAATTAATTAAATAAATCACATTATGTTTATTGATAGAACCACAATTTGCATCAACCAAATATGTTTCATGTGACTTTTTGTAAAATTCTTAATTTGTAATAATGTAGATCTACTAGCAAGTTACACTAATTAATAAATATTAATCCGTAAAAGTAATTTTGAGTAATATCTTAAATAACATTTATTGATATTGATTCAATTTTGATACAAAGTTTTTGTAAAATTTCAACTTGCTTAATCCGTAAGATTAATAAATTATTTTATAATCAATAAACATAATAATATTTTTTGATGTGGAGAAACAAAAATCAAATCTGAAACTTGGTTTCGTAAGGATGGTATATATACACATTGATTGCGAAAGGGCTATCCTTGAAGACATTTGCATCTTTTATTGTACGTACCAAGCTTATTCATTGTAATATGAATTAGTACATAGCAGAGGTTATTGTTCCAGAGTTGCAGCTCTCTTAATTCCTTCATTATGGAGGCAACTGTTTACATCTATCAGGCGTGCCACCTGGTCCCCCAAACTTCATGGCTTCTTTCATGGCACCTCCAGCAGTAAAATACATCAAACCATAACAAACAGAATCCAAAACCTTGTTCATCTTGCTATGGTCAGCATCAATCAGATTGTAGCTCTCATTCACATATCGAATCCTGGAAAAGAAACCGAACACCCACCCCAGATAGCCAGGATACTTCCCACTCCCCATTGGCGGCCTATCCAGTTGCTGTAAGTAGGTACTTGTTGTCCCGCCGTATTTAACAACGTCTGCTCCCAGAGTTAAATAAGTAAAAATCTTCTTTGGCCAATATCCCACTGGTATGATTAAGTAATTCTTTTGAGTCACTAACCACCAGTTACCAGTCACATTATCCTATACCAGAAACGAAGACGACTCATGATTCAGTTTTTAAGTAGTAAGCATACCAGTTTGATGAATCTGAACTCTAATGCTAACTGGACTTCTATGGCTTCCAATACTTATTCGTTCAGTGATCTAACATGTATCAAAATTCAAGAGGAAAGAACATTGAGCATTACCTGAAAAATTCCAATGTGTTCAATCATCATTGGGTGATCTAGATCAATCAGATAAGCTTGACCCAGGAATAAAGAAGTATCTATCTGCACGAAACCTGGACACAGTAAATTGTAACAGCCGGTTGTCTGAAAATCATCAGCGTGTAAATTAACAATTCAATTCAATTAGATCAAGGTTATTTCCATCAGCTGTGGTTACGAATAAGGAAAAAAGAAGGGAAAACGAGTACTCAGATTCTTACTGTCCAATATGCAGTAAGTCTTGTATAATTGTCACCATATAAATTTGGATGCACCTGTGATTAACATTGAAGAAATAGTTATAAACATTAGCAAGTAAGAGTATTTATCTGCAAATCTTGCGTAGGAGAGAGGCTTTACCGCCCAGCCAGCTTCAATGTTGTTTAAATCAGATGTAGGACCATTTTGTACCCACACATTAGCCCTACTGGATTGCATCTGCTTTACCACAGGATTGAATACTCCCATAATTGCTGCACCTCCACGATATGTCCTCTCACCTGGAGGTGTCGAAATTGTTGCAAACTGAAGAGTTTGGGCAATGGATTTCAGTCAGTCAATGAAAAGTTTTTAATCATATCAGTTGGGGAGTAGATAAGTTTTAATTGAAATCAATAACTCACATATTTTACTCCCCTGTTTATGTCATTTTGTGGGTAAATTGAAGGGTTAGCATGAATGGGTACTGTCCCTTTGGGGCAGCCATGTTCGTTGTTGACATCTGATCTTGAAAATGTAGCTTCTGGAAACTGAGGTATAATTGGCTTCGTCTAATAACATAAATATCAAATGTGTTAGTAATTTGCTTGAAGCTGGCACTTCAGGCAATATTACCCTATAATAATAAACAAGGCTAGGAGCCAGAAGCAAGTACCTGAAGTTTGTGATGTCTAAGTTTCCGATGACTGAAAGCTGGTTGTTGGTAGATATTCACACATTTGAAGGTATCGATGCCATTTTGCTTGGCTTGTGAATGAAATAGTGAAGAATGTATGAGAATTACTAGCAACAAGTACAAGGCCATAACTGTGAATGAGAATGGTTGTCGACAATCCTGTTCTGGGAACTCAGTCAGTGTGGACGGACTTTGCTTGAGAGTGTGTAGTAGCAGTATTAATTAGCAACAAGCTTTGATAGATTTGCCTATCTAATCAAAGGTAATGATCAAACATAGAATCAATTGACAGAGAGAGAGAGAAGTCTTAATTAATAGGCTAATTGTTTGTTTGTGAAATGTAAGGGGAGCTTAATTAATAGGAGTTTGACTGGGAGGACATTTAATGCTCTTTCTGAAGAAAGACACATTTCATGGCAAAGGGGTGGAAAGTTCAATAATCGTTCACGCAGTTATAACAGAGGAACGACTGACTGGGGAAGTCATTTGATGATTTAGCAGCCACTTAGCAAAGCCATTCCCAAATGAAATATGTGATTGCAAACAGGCAGAACTCTACAAATTTTTCCAGGCTACTACCATAGCTTTCAGGCTTTGGAAGGCTCCTTCCTTATGACCCCATTTCCTCTTATAGTTGCCTGCAGGCTGCTGCTGCTGCTGATTACAAGGACGAAGAGCTCCTAATGCATGTCTCGTCTATTCTCAAAATGGTTTGCCTCTCCCTGGCAACTGCTCTTTCCCTTACTTCTCCAACATTGAAACTTTCTGCTCCTCTTTCAGTATCATTTTGTTTCCCTGTTTTGAGCTATGTCATGGGACCTGAAGCTTCCTGTCCATATAAATATTTCCTGTAGTTATATTCAATGAAGTGAAGAAGATTGGTTTACATATTCTTCTGCCTGGGTAGGGAGCATATGTTTTCAGGAATCTGATACGTGTTCCATGTTTTCCTGAGCTGTGGACTTTCCATGCGAAACACATTCATATGATTACAGAAGAGCTTGGTGATATGTGGGTGTAAACACTCCCAGACATCCATTTGAAGCCCACAGAACTTGGGTCATAATGGGCCCATGTTGGGCTTTCATATGCTTATTTACCAGTCCACTAATGGGTTCAAGTCATAAAGGCCCCGAGTTTGACAATTAATTGATTTAAGAGAACAAAAATGGGATTTTTTTTGTTTTTGGAGTTGCAGCACAGTCTATTTCTCTCCTTTTAATGCTTAAGTTGGATAAAAGGGTGTTTGAATTTGGAATGACTTTACAAAAAAAAAAAATAGTTCTATGTTATTATTACTATTAAGCTATTGCTTAAGTTAAAAGAAAAAGAAAACCCATTTTCCTTTTAGGAGACATTTAGTACGAAGTAATGAGAGTGGTAAAATTATGACATAATGTTATAAAAAGTTTTTAAATTATTGAAGAAAATTTAAATAAATTTTTATTTTTTATTACGTTCAATTAAATTTTTATATTTTATTTTGAGTCAAATAAACTCTTATGAATAATTGTTGATTAATTATTATTATTAATCAAAAATTTACTTATCATTTAATGCTCACATGACACTGGTATGGAAGATAAAAAATATTACATGATCATGTTATTATGTCACATTAACATATCATGTCATCAATAATTATAACATGTCAACATGCTATGTCATCATTAATTATAACATGTCAAAATGTCATATTAGCATCATATGATATAAAATGACAAGTAACACTTTAACTAAGTTAAAAATTAATCATAAAAGCTTATTTGATTTAACATAAAAGCACAAACGTTTGATAGAAAGTAATAAAAGAATAAAAATTTATTTAAAATTTTTTAAATAATTTAAGAGTTCTTTTAAGTATTATATCTAAAATTACTTTACAATGTTTGATAAGAGAAAAAAAAATCAATATAATGTAACATTCTATTACTATCACATTAGGCTTAGTAAAGAAAATCACATTACCATAAAAAATCAGTGTAATGTTACTTTATCAATTGCTTGGCAAGTAAAAAATTTTGATTTACTATTATTTTTTGTAATCATATTATATTGTAAAGCATCAAACGCACGTTAAAGTGATGAAACCATGAGAGCAAATCAAGACTTGAAATTAAAACATTTAAAACCCTTTTAAATGAGTTAAATGCTGCCGAATATTTTGAACCAAAAGCCTTATGAGATTCGATTTATTCAAATTCAAGAAAAGTTTATTTGAAAAGTGGGGGAAAAAGGTGTAGCTTCTAAATCAAAGAATCTTTTGCTAGAAGAGAAGGAAAACTCAACTTCAAAGTGGCAAGAGAAGACAAGAACAAATCATGCTTTGGGCTGCACCAAACGTGCAATGAGGTCTCATGTGAGATGATGTTTTGTGAAAAGAAAAAATGTCTCCAAATGATTGTTGCTCCCCACCCATTCCCGGAGAGAAAGGGGCTCTCCTCACCTTTCTTCAGACAAAGAAAGAGAAAAGATTCAATCCCATGGTCGACCTAATGAATGATCATGCAGTCTCAATTAAGGCCTAACACATGGAAATATTAAATTTTCCTCTTCTAAAGAAGAACACCAGGCTACCAAGAGACCACATTTGTACTCACAAGTATACTCTTTGCATATGCATCTAGCTATTTTGAATTTAAGATATTGTAAAATATGATCATTTACTCGAGGGATGAAGCATGCATTCGTGGGGTAGACAGGGAAACACATGGATCAGATTGAAAATGGAGGAAAAACCAAAGTGGAGTAGGGGGCTACCATGATTGGGATGCTTGCTACTTTTTGCCCTCTCATTCAATACAATATCATGGATTTCTACTTTCTAGTGTATGCATACCTTCTCAAGCCTTTTAATGACAAGTGGTGAGAGATTATAATGCTACATATACAACTTAATTCTTGAAGCTTGAATATAAAAGTAATAGTGAGATTATTAATTATTTAATGAGGAAAAGAGAAGAACCACCTTCTCATTCAGTGAGTGAATGATAATTTAAGGCAAACAACTTGCACCTTAAGCCTCACTGAATTTTCAATACCAAGACTTTGCTTCCTCAATTGTCAAAAGACTGAGAAATTAATTACTTTTAATAATGAACTATGGGTGCAGCAAATCATCTTTAAATCAAAAGGTTTAAACTCTAAAACAACTCTTGTATTATATGACTATTTTTTGAATTAAATTAATCTCTCACTTTTTATTATATTTAGATGAATTCTTGAATTTTGATTTAGATTTAAACAATCTCTTAACTTTAATGAAAATTTAATCTTTTTTATATTCACATTGTATATGATCCATGAGTTGGCGTGATCACGAGATAATTGATGTAATCTAATGTGTATTTCGTATGTAAAATTAGTGGATGGTTGGTACCATGTGTAATGCATGGGCCAGGTAGTTTTCATGACTTCATTTGAAATGTGCACGCCTCCTAAGCCAATCTTGAATGATGAAAAAATACCATTCTTTTTCACAGGCAAGACAAATTTTTATTGTAATCTATAGCAGTCAAGGACAAAGTTTCCAAGCATAGTGGGATATGCCAAAACCATGACCAAAGGACCAACAATGGGACAAAGGCAACCCCGACAGGAATCAAGTGCCAGATCGAACAATACTCCCAAGAGCTTGCCAAGGTCTGAACAGCAACATATAAAACAAAAACATCAAAGACATATGTCTCAAGTTATGAAGGTTTCCTAGGTCAAGATATATTTTTACTTGCTGTAAATATACATATATATATGTATATATATATATATTGGGGGTGAAAAAAGGGAAAGCCAAAAGAGGCATTGCAATCATGAAAATTGAAAAATGAATGATATCCAGCTAATTAGTTCTTCTAGATGCCAACCATTTGATAGTGAAATTGGACCATGATCCATTGCACGTGCACCTAGCACATATGATGAGAACAGAGTAAAATTAAAACCAAGCTCTCCTCTTTTATTCGGGTTTTGCCTCCACCAGGGGTCCGTACGTATATCCTATGGGGAAACTCACAGCTGCAAATGCCTAAAAATGTGTTCTGAATTGAGGCAAAGAGAGTTGAACAGTAGCAAGTGTTTTTGGTCGGGTGTCTGGTGCAAACATCCCTATCAAACACCGTTTAGAGCACCAAAAGAGAAAACCCAATCAAAAGGTTTTGAAAGTTTTGTTCTCTTTAAGCTTGCATAAAGGGTAGAAACCCACCAACCAAATGGACCCTCTTTGCTCTTCCTTTAGGGAACCCTGGTTTAATTAATATACTTGTCCAAGACTTTCACTACTCCTGGGTCTAGCGTTCATATAGGTTGGAAACAAAAAAAATTAAAGGGTCTTTAGGTATTGGAGGGCCTGGTTACAATGGAAAATTTAGTAGCATCTAAGCCCTTGGAAGAATGTTTGCCATTTTGGAAGTAAATTATAGTTTTAGACTTTATGGGTATAGGGGAGGAGAGGGGTTAGGTGAGCCTCAGTGCCCTTTGATTTTTATTTCAATTACTATTAATATCTAAGGATATTGATAAAATATATATCTACATATTAGATCATTTTAATATATTTTTTTTATTTAAGGCAACATGAATGAACATGATTAAGTATAATTTTAGAAGAATGAGGGATTCAAGTTCAACTCTTTAAATAGAGGGTTTATACTTTAATTAAGTCTTATCTGTTGGTGCAAATGAGGTTTTGAAGGTATTCAAGAAATGACAAAATTGACTTCAAGGCGAGCTTTTAAATAGACGCTATCTTTAAGATTTATTTCGCTCTTACCACTTGGTATGCAAAGTAGAATAATGCGAATAGCTTTAAGGATACAATAGCTTTTCATAATGTGACATAACCTTTGATTTTGAAAAAATACTAACATTATCTACTTCTTAGGATATTAAAACTAAGTCTAAATTGGGTCATATAGTCAAAATCTCATATGCAATTTGTTAGGCCCTACGTTAAGATCCATACTAACCCTATGAAATATTGTTTAGTTTGACTCGTTGATCTCATGATTTTGTTTTACAATAGTTGGTCTCCTTACAGGATCATGACATCTTTTCTTAATTTCTCTCTAAGAGCTTCTCTTTAATGTAGGATTTATGGTTCTACCCGTTGAGAGCATATCTCTTCAATATGA